TCTGTTATTTAATGAAGAAAAAAATATTACGCACAAAAAAATTTCATACCGGCACTATAACAATTCTGGGTATCCCTGAAATCTATTTTACCGCAAAATATTATACTGTAATTTTTACATTAATGTTTTTTAATTGGAGTAATTCAGTGATTTCAGGGGAATTATTACGGTAAAAATTACCGCATGTCAGATTTGTTTTTCTCTAATATATTTCGGTCAAAGCAGATTTTATGGTAACAAAGTACCGGCACTTAAAATGCCGGTACTTTTAACAGTAATTTGACACATATTTTTTTACAGTGTACTAGAATTAATAGTGTTAAGGTCCCGCAGTGGACTGATCGTTAAGACACGGTTCTCATCAGATCACCGAAGTCAAGCATCACTGGCTGCGGTCAGTGTGCGGGTGGGTGACCCACGGGTCTGGGATTCTGTTTATACCGAGGGTGTGCGGTATTGGTCCTCGTTAAACTGTGCTACCGTAAAGTGCTCGACTTCGCGCGCAGGTCGTCGGGCTACCGAAGCGGGGGTGCCATCCCCTCCGCAGAGGATCAAAATTGTGATGGCATGTCTTCGGATCATCCTCCGGGATGTTTCCCAGACCATCGCCAATAGCCCATTGTGCAGCTCTAGTGCGACGTAAATTAACAACAACAACAACAACAACAGTGTTAAGATTTCAAATCAATAAAATTGCAATGGGCATATTGGTAGGGCCGGGATATCCTGGTTGGTAGGGCACTAGGCCCATGTCCAAGAGGTCGTGGGTTCAATCCTCGCCGACCGAAGATTCCCCGCGTAGTAAATGGTGACTGATGCACTTCAAATCTGTCGAGTCACAAAGTTCTTCATGTTCCCATAACAAATCATACCTCTGGGGGTACTGATCCAGGCGTTTCCTTGTCTGCTGGATTGGTTCAAAAGTACGAGGCTACGGAGTTGAACATTGGTAGTCGTAAACCCAATATTTGCTCGCTGTTCAATGACGGTTACAAAATAAAAAATATATATCAAGCATAAATAGGCATATCGAGCATAAATAATCAGTAGACATTCTCAAAGGAACTTTAATTTTTGTAAATTTGTCTTGATTCATACTTTTGTTAAGAAATATAATAACATGGCAGATAATTCTAAACTTATTCGCATTATTTTTAATAATTCTAAATTTAATCTCATAATTTTGCAAAATGATGACCATTTATTTGAATTTTTCTGTTTTCAACAGAGAAAGGTAGATAATACTATTAAGAATATTCAAGTTCTTTTATTTTGAATGAAAAATGCACAAAAGGACTTTTTAAAATCAAAAGATTAGATGTTTCTAGTAAAAAAAGAAAGCAGAACAAAATGTATTTAAGACAAATAAAATACTCTCAAACATTCCCTTACTCAAGGGGTACAGTGGACAATAACAACAAAAGATATTTTTAACAATCTGCCATTTTGCTTGTTTACCTCCTTTTTTCAATCTTATTTTATAATTTTTATTAAATTAAAGAAAACATAAAATAAATTAATCGATTAAACTGTACAAATTTTTACTGAACAAGAAGCATTTTTTACCTCGCCTTTATCTTATGTTTGTAAAGTTAAATATCAAGCAAACAATATTTAATATAATTAGATTTACAAGACCCTTAATAAGTCACACTTGTTTACATGTCTACTAAAAGTGCATTGGAATTTCTAAGAAATTTAAAATCCCTGATCCCACAATGAGGAATCCAATGGACCCATCAACTTAGAAATTTCAAATTAAAAGTTGTATCTTGTGGTATATAATTCAATTTGATTCAAAACACACATTTTGAAACATAGTTAGGAATTTAAAGAAATTATGACTTCTCAAATTTATCACATTTTTCATTAAGTCTTTATTGCATCAAAAGTCTTAAGAAAATCGCTCTTGGTGAAAACAAAATTTCGGTGAAAGCTCTTTATAACAACAATTTAAAATTACATTCGGAATTGTCGTTATACTGAGCTTGTCGTTATAAGCAAATGCTGCTATTTCATGATAAAAGAGAAACAGATATAGGCAAACAGAAATAAGAGAAACAGATATAAGAGAAAGTGAAAGATAAAATACATTTTTCTCGTTTACTTTAATGTTGAACAACTATTCTAACTTAAAATACATATCTGGAATAGATAGATTTTGATAACAGGTTATAAGTTGGTCAGAGTTTTCAGTTCATGCAATAAAAAATAAATAAAGTGCAATATTTTTTGACGTTCTAGGGTAGCATTATTTAGTTTCATTAATAAGCTTCCATAATGAGAAATAAAGGTTTTTTGTATATATTTGATCACCTAAAGGCGCAGTCTTTTAAAAGGTATGACAGGAATCTGAAATATCGTAAAATAATTTTTATTTTGCTAGGAAGAACATAACTTGGCCTGCTGCAGCTGTTACATTACTTTATAAATTTAAAACGTTAAATGCACAAGCGAAACTGAAATGATGCTTATTAATTTCTTTTTTGTTTTATACCAGAAATGAACAGACCTTAAACAACAGATATGTAATTTAATTTAAAAATTATCCAATAACGGGACACTATTAATTTTAATTCCTTATTAACATATATTTTATATGGTTTATAATTTCAGCAGTTAGACGGTGATTAGTCGCTATAGCAGACTTCTAGAAATATACTCAAATCAAGCTTTTAATGTATACTAACACACTGAACACTACACTCCATTAAATTAAACTTTTTAGTACATAAAGACCCTTCGTCTAATTTGAAATTTCAAAAGTTGAAGATCTTGAAAGAATCCTCTGGCTTTCTACGACATTTTTGTTATTGAAAAATTAGTTATAGGCTTTTACTTGAATGAATACGTGTTTCACAATTTTTCGAAAAATTCTTGCGCATTATCAAGAACGAAAAAAATGGATAAGAAAATTGCTGGTTGTAGATCAAACTTTTCCAAAATTTTAGATACTTCTTTTAAGATAATATAAAGTTTTTTTTATAAAACTTGTATTTTTCCATTTTGGATAATCATGAGAGTTTTATGTTTATACACTGCTCTGATTATTCATAATCAGAAAAAGCTTTATATCGACAACTTTCAGGCATTTTTTTTAAATTTCGATATCAGAGTAAAGTTTAATCCTGTACAAAATACTACTAATTAGTAACTGATACATTTTGTATGACTTAAAATTTACGAGTTTTCAAGTCTTAAAAGAGTCGGTAATTGGAACCTTTCAAATGATTTAAAAGTTTTTATGAGAATCATAAGTGCTTTTTTTTGGCTGACAATGACTTACTTTCATAACTTTTCTTGATATACTGACAATTCCTTACACCAGTCAAAATTTTAAAATAATATATAATTTATTTTACGCTTGTAGTTATATTTATTTTTAAATAATTTAATTCCTCTTGAACCAAATTTAAAAAAACGATTGGTTTGCTTTATTTTCAATGGTTTTTTTGTCATTTCATGTTTTCGTTTATGCAAGAAGAATAGAGAGAGTTCAGACCATTATTTTCTCTTATTAGTTACCCAAATTTCCTGGAATCTTTCTAGGTCTTTGCGTTCTCAATTTCAAATAAAACTATTTCATTTTTTTAAAACCTTTGCAATGGATTTCTTGATTGCATTTCTGTAACAGTATTTTTTTACTTGTGTGTAGCGTGTTTCAAAATAAGAAAAATATGGCCAAAAAATTACTTTTTTGCTTTGTTTTTTTTTATTTTGTTTTACTTATTTAATAAAATTAGTATCTACAATTTCACAGATTAATCTTTTAAACAGTGTATTTAATTATCCTATTTTGAGAATTACAATATCTGTTACAAATTGTAATATGTTACTTATCTATTTTCTGAGAAAGATGTTTAATAGTGATTTAGTTTGTTACAAAAATGATGTTAAGTTATTTATAGAAGACAATTTAAAAATAGCATATTCTCCTTAGTTAAATTTTTTCTGAGAATTTTTTTTATAACTCATTTGGATTAAATATAAAGATTTTCTTGATATGTAAAAGATTTTTTTATGTCATTGAATAAAAACATCAACTTCTAAGACGAATGTCTGTAAATATCCGTCAGTTGTTACTCATTAAAATATCTAGCCATAATCATACTTAAAATTTAATTGCGCAGATAAGTAGAAGATATTTCATGATAAAATTTGCTTGATATATGTGTATACACTGCATATTGAAGAACTTCCATCTAAAACAACTAAAAACAAAAAAAAAATTAAACACTCACATGACAAAAGATATTAAATCACTACTTAAAAATTTGTAAAATCGAAAATCTAACAATGTATACTGTCAAGAAAGTTCAAAACAACATTGGTAGAGTATTCTGCGAAACCTTCTCAAATTTAAACTTTTAGAACCTTCTCAAACATGAAGTCAAAAATATGTAAATAAAAGGTCGCGAAACAATAGTTAAATGAAGAAGTCATTAATGAAAAAGGCATGTCTTAAAACCTCGAGTCCTGTTAAATTATTGCAGATTTCATTAAACTAAAATAACTTTAATGTTTTTCGTCCCCACTTTTCTCATTGGTGGTTCAACACATGCGTTTTTCTTTTCTTTCTTACTGTTCATTCCATAACGCTTACTTCTTTTCTAAAAAATATCTATTCTGAAATTATGTATTAAAGATGGTGATTACAGAACACCCACCTTTTAACGCTATTTTAAAGCTGGAAATTGCAACAGAATATTTTCAAACTGTATACAGAAAGCAATATAGTATTCCAATATTCATTAAAAACACTTTTAAACATATTAAATGCATTTATTATGTTAGCGATTGCGCATTCTAGAGTTCAGGGCAACTTTTGCTCAAACATTTTTATTACTCAATTTGCAAAAAATTGCAAATGAAAAAAACTACAGAATATTCTAATCTTTTTCCAAGAGTATAGATTTCGAATTTCATGAAATATTTTTAGTTCATAGAGCAATTTGTCCAACACATCTGCCAATAATTAATCTAAGCGTATATACTTTCAGTGTAAAGTTGCAAGACCTTGTCATCCACAAACAACTTGTTTAAATGTCGCTCCAGGATTTCGATGTGGTCCATGTCCAGCCGGATTTACAGGAAGAGAAGTGCAAGGAATTGGTATAGAATATGCCAGAACTATCAGACAGGTACTAATATTCGTAATGAAATATGTTTTTACTTAGATTGACCTGCATCTAAAATATTTTTCAAATATACATTGCACTGTACTGAAATCAATTTTCTATGCAGTAATGATAATGTTATTATAATACAAAATAATCTTAATGACTTTAAAAATATAATCGCTTATCAAAAGTACTTGAAACAAATTTATATCCTCTAAATTATGAGAAGACCTATATTTTCAATTTTGCTAATTTTATATTCAGCTAATTTTATAATTTTGTTAAAGGGGATTTTTCTTTTAATTCCAGTCCTTTTCAGTGGGAAAAAATTGGCACAAAGGTAAAATACTTACAATATAAAAGGTGATGAAATGGAAACATAAAGCCTCATTTATTTTTTAGCTATACATTTTGTTTTATAGAGTGCAGAAAATGAAATTTTGATTTATATCCTGCGATATATAAGTATTGTCTCTGAAAGTGAGGATTTTTTTAGCGAAGAAAACAACAGAAGTAATTAATGAAATAGCTCAAATCTAGAAAATAGACCTCTGGCAACTTAGGTTTAAATACACCGCTATGCTTGTTTCATCTGTCTGTATAATGCCACTGGCTACACAAAGTTTAGGACTGAACGAATCAAAGTTGCTCTGTTCGTAGTATCCCATTGTTTTCTGGCTAACAGTGAGAAGGTTTTGTTTGTAACTCTCTTTTCACAACTAATGCAAATTACTTTGATTCTAAAATTTCCTTCAAGTTGGGAAAATTTTTCTAAACTAAAAATATTTCTTATCTAATTTTGGTCTACAATTTAAATTATACAAATTAGGAACATTAAACGCCATAAAGTTGTCTGCTCAATGCTAAATGAAAATATTTATGAGGTATTATTTTTTCAGAATAAATCAGGTGGAGGTACTCTGGAGGAGTTTCTTATTTATTTTTTTTATTATTTATTTTTTGCAAGTTAAGTAAAACCTCACATGTAATTGAATAATTTTGGATGTTAGAAAAATTGTTAAATCTTATTAGAATTGTTTACAAAAAAGTTATAAAATATTTTATTTTCCTACGGTCATAAAGTAATTTTGTTCAGATACATTAAATATAATCTTTAAATTGCCTATATTTGTTATCAATATTCATAATATTTAGTTCTTAATATTTCTCCTATAAATTATTTTTTTTTTTAATTATTTTTGTACTTTATTTTGTTATTTGTTGTTTTGTTATGTGTTGTTTTGTTATAAATTTATTTTGTTATTTTTATTTTAGGTTTGTGTAGACATTAATGAATGTGACGATGGTCGAAATGGAGGTTGTGTTGAAAATTCTCAATGCGTAAATGAAATGGTGAGTTTAAAATAATGTTTTTCATCCATTACAGTGAGATGAAAGAGAACTTTAATGTTATATGCAGATTACTGCAAGTATAACAGACAGTTTATTTTTTTCATTAGAGCATAGAAGTTATTACTTTAAAAAAAAAATGAAAATTTGTTTTTCGGATATGATGCATTTCTAAAGTTTCTATTACATTATGTTACTACTTAAAATTGAATATGATAATATAAAATTAAATGCTAATATATTAATTTTTACTATTAAAATACTAGAATAAATATTCACCTTACATGGTCATTAAATGATATCAAATTTTAGTTTTAAGTTTTATTAATAAAAAAATGTAGTAAAAATTATACTAACATTTATAAATGATATATTCAGTTTTATTTGCTTTTTTTTAACCTTATGAATACTATAGCTCATTTTAAAAAAATCGTATCGTTATATGTAGCAATAGAGTGTAAATAATTGTCTACATAGCCAATAGGAGCTGGTGTACTTACAATTATAAAAAATATAATTGAATAATGGTAAATAGTTTTTATGAGTATTTTAAATGCAATTACAGGGTACATTTACTTGTGGCGAATGTATTGAGGGTTTTGTAGGAAATCAAACGAGTGGTTGCCACCCTCATCCGGGGATGTGTCCAGATGGAACAATTTGCGATGGCAACGCTGACTGTGAGTTAAGGAGAGGTCTAGTTAGATATCAATGTAAGGTAAGTCAGTTAAGATTATACTTTAAAGCTCTGAAATGAAATTTATTTCTTCAATTCACGTTATTGCGGTTTACTACATAAGAAGATATTCAAGTTTTTAAGTTCGTAAAGTTATTCCTCGAATGAAAATTTTTATATATTCTCGAATTTACAAATTTTCAAAAGACTTTGCGCAAGTTAGGGATAGATGGCAGTGCTGGCTAATACTACACCAGGAAGTAATGAAAGTAGCATAATGGTATACATTGATCATGAATAATAATTAAAAGAGCACGTTATTGAATTTACAGAGAATTAGGACGTATTGAACTTCAGAAATTAGTAGCAAAAGTTGCCACCTTTGGCAGAAATAACAGCATTTATCCACTGAATCGATTGCTTTAGATTGCTGGTACTACAGTCAAATCAGCTTCAAAACTATGCTTTAGTTCAGTCGCAGTTGTAACTGGTGGAGGCAAATCACTTGGTAACCATTTACAAGTTTTCAATCACTCATAGATCAGGAGAACTGGCTGGCCATGGAAAATTCCGGACATGTTATGTGTCAAGGAAGGTCAGGACATATGAGTACAAGTAGTCATGCATTATCCAACGGGAAACTCGTGTTGTAGAAGACTTGAAAATATGACTACTGGTCATTAACCAGTCTAGAATGTGACAGTTAATCTTCAAAATCCCAAGAAAGAAAACAAGAGATGATTGACTCACATATCCAATAGCCCCCAATATAATCACTGTTTTGTCATGGTCTAGTATGACGATGTCGAATGCAAATTGGCACTGTGCGTTTTAAATGATGCGCCTAACACGGATGTGGCCATTATGTACAACACAATAACAGAAACATAGGGATAAAAAGTAGCTTTTTATTATAAGGGAAATATTGATAATGAAATTACATAATAATATAATATATATATATAATGATATTTGTATAGAAAAAAATTATTTAGAACTCTTCAGTTACCATTTTTTATATCATTATTACATAAGGGATTTGAGGTAATTATGCAATATTCCAAAGTTGAATGAATAAAAAATTTTCAGTGTTTGTTCATAGGTAAAGTCACTCGTTATACACTCGTCACTCGTTATGGTTCAATACGATATTGATAACACTGGGAAACTAATTTTTTGTTGCATTTACGCAAATACTTGATCCTGCTTAGTTAGGATGCGAGGATTTCAAATCTGAAAATAGTTTTAATTCTAAAGCTATAGATTTTTTTTTTTTAAAAAAAAGGCCTTTTCAGTCTATTTTTGCCGAAATGTACAAGTTTAAAATGAAATATATATAACAAACTGTTACTGAAGATTGCGACGAAATTTTAGGACACATCAGCAAGATTTAAACTGCATACCTATGCCCGTAAATCCGTTATACGCCGCAAGGGGCACTTCTCCAATTAGAAACGATTTTCAAATCATCAGAGTTAAAACTAAATAGAAGCCTATGCCCGGAAATGTAATCGTCATCTGCCGCTAAAGGTACTTTCCTATTATGAACTGTTAAGAAGCAGTTCATAATAAGGAAGCGTCACTAGCGGTGTTTGAGGGTGTTTCCGTGCATGGTTTCTCATGCAGTTCTAATCCTTCTGGTATGCCCTAACTTCTCTTGAAGTTTCTCGTAACATTTATGCAACGCCTTGTAATATGTAACGTTTTAACTTGAACATTTCGTCAAGAAAGAGACAAAATATGTCATTGTAAAAAAATCTTTAGCCTGGAGAAGGAAAGATTTGAAACCAGGTTGTAGGATTGTAGATTTGAAACCAGTGACACGAAAGTATCTACGATCTGTTAAGTAATCTAATCTAAAATAATCATTTTAAAAAAATGGTTCCCCATTGTAGTTTAATATAAATATATTAAAGTTTGAGATTTTTATGCATGAGAATCTTTATGATCTAGAACGAATTGTTACTCACATCTGCTTTATAATTTTAGTTTTTTTTTAATCAAAAGCAATGTTATTTTACTTTGTTCAATAATAAACCTAATTACTAGCCCATTTGTCTTCATTCAAATTTAAATCATTTTTACATCACTATAACGATTTCAAAACACTTTAAATGATTCGAGCATCCTCGATGTCAAAATGAATTGCAAGAACATTAAACAAACGCTTTGAATCAAACTAAAATAGTTCAACAAAGTCGATTCCAATGCAGAAAACAACTAAAACAACTTATTCCAATCAATTATAAGTTTGTTTCGAGTAATCCCAAGACTGCAAAAGGAGAGTTTTGTAAAGATGGCTCATTATCCAAATACTTTGCATTTCAATTAGTAGCAGAATTCTCATGATTTATGTACTTTCTTTGCTAATTCCCCGATGTCTGATGTCATACTGTTTATCTCCCCGCAAAACTCAATGAACGTAATGTTTGAAGATTCATTTCTGCGATCTTTTGTTCAAAGATATTTCAATTTTGTTGAAAAGCTCTCAAAGTTTCCAAACGTAAACATTTATAACGAGATAATTTCAACTCAAACATTCTTTTATCAATACTTTTCTTTCAGTTGGATTGTTGGATGTTTAGTTTTTAATCAATTAATAAATCCTTCTGTTTTGTATCCAAGAATATGTTGTACTGTTAGCATAATATGAAATTTAGTTCAAATAGAAGAATATAATACATCAAATTGTTTAGTTAGTTTTAAAATGAAAATGAATAATATTTTTTTAAGTTTGTTTTAAGTATATTTTATTCAAAGTAATTGAATTTTTTTATAACAATAATTTCAAGGTTCAAGTATCAGAGATTTTGCAAGGATTCATTCTTTTTATTTTTAAATTAGTGAAAAGAATTAGGGTGAAGTGAAAGCAGCTTTCAAATATTTTATTCCATGAAACTATTTTGAGTCAATATTGTTTTTGATTGGTTATTTTCAACACTTTAAGACACCGAGAAATATACGGTAAGATTTTTTAGTTTACCTACGTGAAAACAATACCTTAAGGGTATGTTTTACTAGGAAACTGCTGTGACTACGTTCAAACTTTTTATAGACTGGAGCTGAAAATAATTTTAGTCACTTTCTTTCGATCTCATTGTGTGGTATTTGGAAAGTCTATTTTGTTGATGTTACCAAAACATATTAATGCTTAGCGAATAGGGTACGACGTCAGGCGAATCTATCAGGAACATATATATCTATGTACATATACTACATAATTATTGCATCACGGACATCAAATCTGTGATCGACTGCCAAATCACACAAATTAGGGGCGGAAAAGGTTTTATTTAAACGGATTTATTATTAGAATATCTTCAATATGCAGTATCAATATCACCAATTCGCAGTGTAAATACCTTCAATATGCAGTGCAAATACCTCCAATATACAGTGTAAGCATCTTAGCTATACAATGTAAACATCTACAATACGTAGTGTAAAATTTTCTAATATGTAATGTAAATTTCTTTAATATGTACTGTAAACATTTCGAATATGCAACCATAACTTATTCAATATGTAAAAAAATTCACAAGTGAATTTTCTTACATTAATAGTAATAGTTTTAGAAATATTATTAGTTTAATTGTATAAAAACAATGGTTAGCTACTTTTCTGTGCAATCATGTATTTATGATTGTTTTCTTATGAGTGCATTCAAATGTTTCTTTTTTTTTCATTTGATATGAAAAGCAAAGACATAATATAAAAGTTTTATTGTATTTATTGTGATATTATGAATCGATTTCAAAATAACTTCATGCGAATGAAAAAAGTAGGTTGAAGCTTCTTATTCACTAAATATTTCATACACAACATTTTTTTAAATTATATTATCAAATTATTCGAACTAAAAAACCATTAAATACCTGTCATCAATAAATTAAACGAAATATAATGATTTATAACCTAAAACACATCTTCTCACCCAATAAGAAATAATTTCAAATTAACATTTTTTAATCAATTACAAAACTTATTCAAATGAATTAAAAAGCGACTAGAATAAAATATCTAATGATAGCTCATTCACAGAATAATTTGCGTTTCAATTACAAGTTCAAGAAAATTTATGCTTTATATTCGCGATCTTTGTTAATTACCTGAGGCTTAATTTTATTACTTTCATTTCGTCTTAAAGCTCAATGCACGTAACGTTTAAATATTCATTTCTTTGCCCAAGGGTATCGCAATCGTTGTTCAGTGACGATATCACGAGACTCTAAAGTATCACGAGAATTTTTCAATAAGGAATAAAGAAATAAAAGTTGTTCTGCTTTATCTTTGTCTTCACTCCATATTCTTGTTCATTTCAAAGTTAATTGATTGAATTCTATGGTTTATATTTGTTTTTCTTAATAAAAATTATTAAATTTTTAAAAATTCGGTTAAATAATATATCGATTTAATTAATGTAAATTAAAGCTATGAGTTGTTACAAAAATACTTGTTGAAGATATTCTATATTACATGTATATGTATTTATATAATGTTAAACGAAGATGCGCAATCAATAAAGACACTGAGTGTTTCAATATTGATTTAATTAGTTTGGAAAATATGATGCGATCTGTGGTCTTTAATAGAATGAGAAAGATATCTCCTTCACATTACTGTTGTCTATTAATATAACAATTTCCAAAGTAGATTGCCTCTTTTCTCAACCAAGCATCTATTATGAAATAGAAAGATGTAAAAATTCTTCTCAAAGTAGGATACTTGCTTTTCAACCAAGCAGCCGTCATGTTATAAAAAGATATAAAAATTCTTTTCAAAGTAGAATGCCTACTTATCAACCTAGCTGCTGTCATGTAACAAAAAGGTATAAAAACATTTTGAAGGTAGAATACCTCTTTCTAAACTAGGCAGTTCTCATGTAATAGAAAGATATAAAAACCCTTTTCAAAGTAGAATGCCCCTATCTCTACCTAACAGCTGTCATATGCAACAGTAATGTATAAAAATAGTTTTCAGAATAGAATTCCTTCTTCTCAATCAAGCAGCTGTCGTGTAGCAGAGCGCTATAAAAATCATTTCCAAAGTAGAATACCCTCTTCTCAACTTAGAAGCCGTCATGTTACTCATTTTGATGAGTGCGATAGCCCTTGCATTTTATAAAGAATCATCAAAGTAGAATACCTCTTTCTCAACCAAGCAGTCGTCACGTAATTAAAAGATATAAAAACTCTTTTCCTAGTAGAATACCTCTTTCTTAACCTAACAGCCGTCATGTAACAGAAATATTATGAAAATCCTTTTCAAAGTAGAATGCCTTATTCTCAACCAAGCAGCCGTCATGTAGCAGAGCGCTATGAAAATCATTCCCAAAGTAGAATACCCTCTTCTCAACTTAGAAGCCGTCATGTAACTCATTTTGATGAGTGCGATAGCCCTTGCATTTTATAAAGAATCATCAAAGTAGAATACCTCTTTCTCAACCAAGCAGTCGTCACGTAATAAAAAGATATAAAAACCCTTTTCTTAGTAGAATGCTTCCTTCTCAACCTAGCATCCGTCATGTATCAGAAGTATATAAATGTCCTTTTCAAAGTATAGTATGCCTTCTTCTCAACCAAGCAGCCGTCATGCAGCAGAGCGATATAAAAACCTATTTCCGAAGTATTAGGTGGACTGGAAAGTAATATCGTTTCGGTGCACTTGATATTTGTTATCAAGATTTTATTTTTAATCAGTAATGTATTCACCCTCGTTAGCAACAACCTTACAATGCCGGATAGAAAATGAATCGAAATGGATCGAAAAAAATAATTGGTTTTTAAGACTAACGAATATTTAATGCGCCGAAACGACATTACTTTCTGGTCTATCTAATAAAATACCTTCTTCTCAACTTAGCCGTTATGTTACTCATTTTGATGAGGACGCTAGCCTTTGCATTTAATAAAATTACAACTTAACTTCGCTATCCTAGTTAAAGGTTATAACTCAGTTAGAAAGTTATAACTAAATTTTCTACAACCCGCGGCTATGCTTCAAAATTATGCTTTTCAGGTTCTTCAAAGCTTCATCAATAGCAAAAATTATTAAAAGTACAAATTTTACTGTTGCTTTTCTTTTGTTTTAATGTAAAAACTACAATAAGCTAATTTACATAAAAATATTGTATAACTGATTTTTTTATGCTCTTTTTATAAAAATTATAACATTTATTACAAACCATAAAGGCTGCATATGTCCAAGCATTTCAGTGGTTTATGTGATACAATAAATGAGAGATTCTTATTTATTTATTTTTTAAATTGTGACTAACTCTTAAGAAATCGATTTTATGGCGTTTCACTTTATCGTTGATACTTATTGATTTGAGTTATTAAAAAAAAGCATTATGAATTTTATTATAGTATCAGTACCCATGAATGCTGTAATCATTTCTTGTACTTAATAGCACAAAATTTTAGGGGATTTTCATGTTCAAAGAATTTCAAACAGCAGTTTTAAATTTCAAAATGGAGATAAACTAGTTACTCATTCAAATTTAACTCTTTACAGTGCCGAGTCGGATGGGCAGGAGATGGCAAAATCTGTGGACCAGATAAAGATTTGGATGGATGGCCAGATGTTGAACAACCTTGTTCTGGAGATAGATGCAAGGCTGTAAGTTTCAATTATTACGATCTCAAATTTTTAAGGAATCAGTATGTAATTTACAGTTTCCGTTGAAAAAATTGTAAATAGGAAATCATTTTTTAATACATGAAAACTAAAGGAAAATCGTATCCTACACCAACATTCCAATCAGAATTGTACTCAATTTGATCAACATGAAATGAAGTTTACATTTTTATGCAATTTATATCGTGACCAAATTCATACTTTTAAAGTTTTCTGATACCATGCGCTTTTTTTTTAAAATTTATATTAATTCTTTTAAACGTGTTTCTAAAAATAACTTATTTAAAACCAATGGTAGTTGAATAGAAAAAAATATATTTCTGCATTCAAAAGCAAAGTTAATGGGAAAGTGATACCAATCCGTTTAGGAGAAACATAAGAAATCGACACGAATGATGCTGAAAGTAATGGAGTAAAGGCATCTATTTGTCTTGCAGAACCGTATGAAATCACCAGGCTATCATTGACGACAATGATGCTTAATTAATGTAGTTAACATGTATTAATTGAAATTAAAAAAAAATTATTTATGAACTAAAAATCAAAAATAAGGAGGTTTCGTATTCAGGAGGTTTCATTTATAAAAGTAAGGAGGTTTCATTTTAGGAAACTGTAAAGTAAAAAAAGTGGAAAATTACTGTTGACACTAATGCTCAATTAATATTGATAACCTGCATGAAATGAAATGAAATGAAATAAAATAAGCTATGTATAATCTATGTATATAAATGAAATAAAAATAAAAGCCAAGTTAATGGGAAATTCGTTTAGAAAAACAATAGAAAATCGCCATTTACAGATGACGCTTAATTCATGTGTATCACTGACTGTAATATATACTACTGGTATTATGGTAATTGGCGAATTGGTTTTGATAAGAATTCTGCAACTGGGTTTCCGTAGTTTCAGAAAATATTTTTTCCAGTGGTAGCTAAGATAGTGTATTAATATTTTAATAAATTAGAATTAAATAAACTTTTTTCCACCACTATAAATATTTTAACAGTAAATTAAAGTTCAGATGGAGAAATCACCATGTTCCAAGATCCTTATCAAGTTCTAATATTATTTTCTTAAATTTAGCTTTAGTTGGCTGCCACTGACTAATATATTTTGCACGAAACTCAAATGTTGAAGGGTAATGTAATAAGTGCCAAATTTATTAATATAGGTATAAAATATTTTATTGATGTATTTGTTGGTTATTAGATGTGAACTAATATTATTCAGTATACTTCAGAATTAAGTGTTTTCAGGCTCATAGAAAGGGATATGTACCTGAGAAAATCACTGGATTTCGGTAAATTTTAACTATCATTGGCGACATTTGACTACCATTTTGACTATGAATTGACCCGTGAGCAATAGAATCGTGCAAAATGATGCTAAATACCTTTTATCTTTATTCCAATGGTATGAAAATTACAAAAAAAGAGCTATGCATCAGTTCAATAACGTAGAGCCCCCGAAAATCGCAACATGTAATATCAAATAAAAGAAATTAACTTATTTTATCCATATTGATTAAAAAGCTTAGTGGAGGAACCAGGTAAGTGACATTTTAAGAACGAACAAAGACGAATTATTTTATTACCAATTTATTAAAAGGTGGGATTAATAATTCTTTGCTTTATTTTAATTTGTCACTGCCGTATTTGAAATAAAAATCATGCAAGCATGCTAAACACTATTGTGTCTTAGTTATCTGAAGATAAAAGTGAAGGTAAAAACAGTTCTGTGTATTAAACATACTCACTTTGACACAACCACTTTACTATGTTTTCTCTAATTCATTAATTCTCCTAAAATGTCACTTACCTGGTTCTTCCATAAATCTCTTTAATTGTGTCGGTGTATGCTTTTCAGTTTAGAGCGTGAATGCGTTGTGTTTCTCAGTACTGATTTATTGATTCTTTTTTTATTATTCATCCCTTGTGAAGAACGGGTATTCAGCTAGTATGATATATAACATAATATAATATATCAAAAACGTATTTATCAGTTTTATAAAAATAAAACTAAAGACTAGTCACACACTTCAGAAGTAAACAATGTATCGACGCTAATCATTGAATGCTTATGCTATCCTAAAAATTTTGGATAATGTATAAAATGGAATATTTAAAATTTATAATTGTTAATCAGAAGATCTATCGAATGAAGAATTTCTTTAAGAATTAAAATGGAATTATATTTCGATTAAAAACATTCTATGTGCCTAAATTCGCAAGCTGATTCAAGGAAAATTCCGACATAAAAACTAATATACATTCCGATATTCAATATATGAATGGAAAAAAAACGCAGATCAATATGAGGCTTAAATTTAACTTCCTTCGTAGTTACATTTTGATTTTGCAGCTTACTGCTTTTTTTTCCTCTTTTTTTCAGGAAGCATTTCCTTTTGCTACTTAAAAACGTTGTTAATATCCTGTAAAATAAACAATTTTGGAAAATAAACGATTTGCAATACTAACAAAAAAAACTACTTCTACATAATCAATGAAATTCTCTTTTTCTTCAGCTTTATAAAGAATCCCTTTAATTCTTTTATTTTGAAATTTATTCAAACCATAAAAAAATCTAGATTAAAGAATCGTAAGATAATAAAACCATTCACATTATAGGTTTAAAAACTGCTATGATTAAAGCTACTTTAGCAAAACGTTAGATAGATTATAATTTTTTGTTACTTAAGTCCAAAACAACCACATCAGTAAAAAAGCTCCATTTTTAATTAAATTTTCTTCCTCAAAATATTCTTTTAATCTTCTCTTTATAAGCATTTATTTTTTTCCCCAATTTATATAAAACCCGGTGTCCTTTCTGTCTTTTCGAGGTATGGTGTTTCAATTAAGGAAATAAAGTTAATTAAAAATGGCCTGTTTTTTTCTACGATAGTTGAGCTGTTTGTGAGTTAATTTGTTTTTCGGGCCACTCAACGGAAATAGATGACCGAGAATGAACGAAATGATAATAAGAAAAATATATAAAAAACTTTTTTATTAATTCATGAGATAAAACAGTCCGGATAAGCAGTTTTAATTTTATTCCGTTTTCTACATATAAAACTTCAAAGGGGGAAATAAGATTTCATTCTTAGAATTAAAAATAAAATCAAAGACATTAATTATTTAATTTGTTTTTTTTTATTTAAAACATACTGATATTGTTACATTGTTTTCCGCTCACGAGGAAACTTTTTTACGATTTAATAATTCAGAAAAAGTTCGATTGATCTGTATACTCGCGCGTTAGTATACTAGTTAGAATTAAAAATAAAATCAAAGAAATTAATTATTTAATTTGCTGTTTTATTTAAAACACACTGATATTGTTACATAGTTTTTCGCTTATAGGTAAAAAAATTTTATGATTCAAAGAAAAATCAGAGAAATTAATTATTTAATTTGTTTTTTTATTTAAAACATACTGATATTGTTACATTGTTTTCCGCTCATGGGGAAACTTTTTTACGATTTAATAATTCAGAAAAAGTTCGATTGATCTGTATACAAGTGCACTAGTATACTTGTTAGAATTAAAAATAAAATCAAAGAAATTAATTATGTAATTTGCTGTTTTATTTAAAACATACTGATATTGTTACATAGTTTTTCGCTTATGGGGAAATTTTTTTTATGATTTTATCAATTCAGAAAAAGTTGATCTGTATACCCGTGCACTAGACTCCGTTTAAGCTTTATTTTGTATACCGATGATCGCAAAGCTATCTCCAACTTAAATACAAAAAATATCTTTCAAATAATGAAAAGAATTACTTCATTACTTACTATATCAGTAAGTCATATTGAACAATCTAAGTATTGAATCATCCAATTTCATAATTGATTATAATACAAAAACAAATAATTGGACAAAAAAAGACAAATATAAAACAAATAATTGATTTTGTTCATCGTTTAAAACTAAAGTATATCTTAATTCTCAATAATGTAATGTACTATCCTTTAGAGAAATGTATGGACAACATGAATTCAAAACAATCAGTGATCAGATACTGCAAATCAAAGCACTTCAGCACCAGCAAATTGGGGATTAAAAGGATCATGGATGCTAAGGGTCCAAATTTTTAAGGCCTGCTAGAGGTGTGATGGTAATAGGTCATAACTACGTACCGGGTACCTCTATATCTCACATTAGCTGGTACCCCTAGATTTAAAGCTGGGTATAATTAAAATCTTTACTGTGAATATAATCAACTCAATGTCTTGACTACTGTGTCATCGCCATTCTTATTGCAAATAGCTTGTAAAACCGGATCTGAGAAGTTTATTTTTCAACTTTGAGTTTCATTGCCAAAAACCTTTTAGAAGGCACATTTTCAACTAATTCAGAGTTTCGTTTGACCTCTTAATTTTTATGTAACCTATTTTGGTACAAATAAAAATTTTTGCAGGGTTCTCTTTTCGCGTATTAATCAAACCGTTGAAATTTATTTACCAATTTTTTTAAAAAAAATTTCAATACTAATATTTTATAAGATTCTTTCTTATATTTTTATTATTAACTAATTTTGTCAACAAAAATTATAAATTTAAAAAAATCTACGATCTTATTTTGGATAGAGAAAAACATTTCTAATAAAACATTTTCTTTTATGGCGTTTTGGGAGTAAAAGGCTTAAAAAAAAGTAAGAGGTATCCATATTTATGTTGTCGTGCGCTGTGTTTCACTGTTAAAACAGCGCATTGATCACATTTTACTAACGAGAGCTAATAAAAATGAATGTTCATTTATTTATATAAAGAAAAATATTAGTCATTTGCGTTTATAAAACACTTTTATGATGTTTTTCCTTTTCTATATTTACATATAAAAAATATTTCCTTTTACGAAATATACGAACAGCCTGTACAAAAAAACTCTCAATTAGATAATACTGAAATCGATGCAGAATTATTTTTTTCCAATTAATGACTTATGAAGCACATTATCTAGGCCATCTAAATAATTGAATATCTGAAATCAATATATATTTGACTATTTTTACTTAAGTTAGTTGCTGATCAATACATCTTGCAGGATAATTGTCCCGACATCCCCAACAGTGGCCAAGAAGATGCAGATAAGGACGGGATTGGAGATGCTTGTGACGAGGATGCCGATAACGATGGAATCATCAACAATCCGGTATAGTGTTTGTCAGATATTAGTGCACATTTCTCCTTCACTTAACCTTAACTAGGATAATAGATCAATAAAGAAGATGAACAAAGAACCTTTAGTGCTACAATAACACAATATAAGGAATAATAAGAAATAATAGTTTTACAAGAAGGGAAATTTGTAGTTATGTCGTATTTCATTTATATTAACTGATTGATTAATAAATAAACAAAACTAATGGCACTTAAACTGATTAATTAACTTAAATATGTATTGAATAAAATAGTTTTGAAAATATCTCAAATATCTCCCAAAAGTTATCGATGATTTGAAAAATCAATTAAAGAAAGGCGAAGTCGAAATATACGGTTTGTTACGTTCCAGTTATATATCTTCAAATTACATATAAAATTTGTTTCAAAGTAAAGAACAGTAAACTATGTTTTCTGTCTGTCCCATGTCAAAGTATTCAATCAGAAATATATGTATGGTTCTCCACACGTTTTGTCCTCGAATTGCAGCACGATATCGGTTCTGTAAATGGTGGTTATTTTGAAAATATGGTTAAAAAATTTTTAGCTTACTCAATAAACTTAAATATGTATTGAATAAAATAGTTTTAAAGTTACCGATAATGTGAAAACAAAACAAAAACAAAATAGTTAGTTTCAAAATTTACTAACATATGGCGCTATTCAATGTAAAAATAAACTGTGAAATGATGTTTATTGTTGCATGTCAGAGTATTCAAAAAGAAATATATGTATGGTTCTCTATTAATTTTTGTTGGAAATAATTTATGCGCTATGCAAATTATTTATTAAGGGAACTATTTGTGGCGTAACTACCACTACAAATGTTAAATACCAATTCACTAGTATGTAAGACATGTTAACTTGATTCTATTATGATGTTCATTTTAATAGCTGAAGGTTGACATAGTCGATAATAAAATCCCTTCAAATGTGGCGTACCTAACACTATAAATATTGAATACCAATTCACTTATATAAGACATATCAACTTGATTCTATCTGAAGTTACCTTTTGATAGATGAAGGCTGACATAGTCGATAATTAAAACCTCCTCATATTCTTTGAAAGTTATATTTCCTAAAGTGGCAACATCTTCAAATCATGTTATGAGAACCTACTCGAAGAACAGAGTAAAATATCAGTCTAGTAGAAAGACCAACTCAGCTGTAAGTGGCTGTGGGTTCATTCCAGATTTCAACGTATTGAATCTCACTATGCTGATGTTTAAATAACTTTGATACTTTGTTCTAATATACAACTAGCATGTTTTTATTTAACGACAAAGCAAGCTGTATATTTTATACAACAAATATTATTTTTGATTTTCAACTTCGTCAATCTTAGACTTCACACAGGTGTATTCACTCCATAATGTTTTCCTCAGATAGCAGCGTAATATAATCTCTGGTAAATGATAGTTATTTTGATAGCATTGTTTTATAACTGCAGCGTTGACAAATTTTGTAACTAGTTTAAGAAATTAATGAGAATAAAATCTGGGTCACTCAGAGCAAGACTCAGAAATAATGCACTTCTGTATCCTTCCATTTTCTTAAAAAATTATATTCATATCGTTGGTAATTTTTTGTTACCAGTAAATTACTATTGATTAAAATTTATATAAAAATAAAATTATTCAATTTTTGCTATAAATGTTAGTTATGTGTATTCTTACTTTGATAAAAGTTTCGCAGTGGACTGATCGTTAAGACACGGTTCCTAGCGGATCTCCGAAGTCAAGCATCACTGGCTACGGTCAGTGTACAGGTGGGTGACCACTTGCATTAGTCTGCGTAGGGACCGAGGGTGTGCGATATTGGTCCTCGTTAAACTGTTTTACCGTGAAGTGCTCGACTTTGCGTGCAGGTCGTCAGGCTACCAAAGAGTGGGAGCCATCCCCTCAGCAGAGGATCAAACCTGTGATGGTATGTCTTCGGATCATGCTCAGGGATGTTTCCCAGACCGTCGCCAATAGCCCATAGAGCAGCTCTAGTGCGACATTAATAAACTACAACTACTTTGATAAAAATTATGGTTTGTAATTAAAGCACTTATACTTCTAGAAAAATGTTTTAAAATCTGTATACATAAAATATATAAAATTAAAATAAATTATTTCAAAGTTTTACGGAATCGTTCCTTCTAAGATCAAGATGTGTGTCCAACTCTTCAATCTGCTACATTTAAGCAACTCCATTAAATTCAATAATAGATCTCAATAATTGGATTAAATCCACACGCACTTTGTGCTTTTATGTTTATAAATTTTTAATTTGAAAAAAATCTTAATTAATCCTTCTACATATACTGAAAATAATTTTATTCCTGTTATTAGTGATAAAATATTTGATGAATCAACTGATTGATCTTTCATTGATTGTTAATTTAAGGACAACTGTCCCTTGGTTCCAAATCCAAATCAAGAAGACACAGATGTTGATGGTCCAGATAGATTGGGTGATGTTTGCGATAATTGCCCAACGATTCCAAATGCCGATCAAATTGACGCAGATGGTGATGGTATCGGTGATGCCTGCGATCCTGATGCAGATGATGACGGTAATATAAAAGTTTTCATCAGAATTTCTCATAATAATATTCGTTAATTTCAATATTTTCAAGAGTATATAAGATGTAATTTCGCAAGTTTTCTACAGAACAATAAATTTCTTTTGAATATACCGAATTATAAAAATCATTAGTTTTTTAAGTAATCATTTGCTTTTAAAATATTAGTTTTTTTAACTAACTTTTATGAAAATTAAATATTCCGTTAAATTATCACATTTTAATAATTTTTTTGATCAAATCCTTATCTTTATCCATTCAATTGCTTAAAATATTATTTTTTTTAAAATGTTGTAAGAGAGGTTCATTACACTTACAGTAACTACTACTATAGTATTTTTATAAAAGAATACTACACACTATGAAAACCCAAGATTTTTCAAACTTTTAAACTTTTTTTCATATTTTTCATGATTAAGCATAATTTAGCCATTTTTTATGATTTTAATTATGTGTCACTGGTAGTAAAGTTTCATACGTTTGCACTTTTAAAAAATTTAAATGGGTAACTCTATTAGTTTAATCAGAAATAACTAAAATTCCTCATAAGTAACTATGTTTTATAATTCATATATTTTTTTCAAAATACAACATAAAATCCATAAGTTTGTAGTTATTGTGTGAACTAAATTATATTCACTATAACAAAATGACGAAGGAAAATATTTTTAAAACATGCTGATCTGTTTATAATGTGTTAAAAACATTATCAATAAATATAAGAACTTTAATTCTAACAAAAATAACTTGTATCCTAGTCACATTTTATTCACATTTTTTATCTTTGTTCATAATTCAGTAGCGAAGTGCATTATGAGTATTTACAATACATGATGGTCTTTTACGAAACTTTTTACACTATTTTGTACTTTTGATACCATTTTACACTATGAAAAAAAATTTTGGTCCTTTTTTCTGAACTACTTCTAAAAAGCACATCACTACCTATATGACATTCTAAAAACGTCTTTGCCAACGATGTTTATTTTCCTCAAGATTTCATTATTCGAAATTTATTTTAACCAAGAAATATAACTAAAATAAACGAAAGTAAAAATAATTAAAAGTTATTCATTAATAATTATCAATTAGACAAATTGATGAAAAGGTGTATCAATATTTGCAATAAATAAGGACAGCTCAAATAACTATGATTATGCAAAATTCAAAAAGCTATAATAATTTGTTTAAAAAAAGTATCTATCTGTTTAGAAACTTTCTTCTTTTACAGTATATCTTTTTGAGTTTTTCGCTTAAAAGGTTTCACGTATATCAAAGAATATTAATGCAACTAACAGTCAGATTCATCTGAAAGAATAATAAAAAATAATAAGATCCCATATTGAGAACTTTTTATGCCACCATATTTATTCCAAATTTTCTCATCATATAAGTATCGCAACTAAAATTTAGATTAAATTTATTTCATTTCTATTAAAAAAATTCATTCACATATTGAGCAACTTTCCAGCGTTTTCAGTTGCCCGTACAGATTGCACAACACCTGCAGATTTCAGGTACGTACATATTAACACGTACAGATTTCACAATTATTCAAAAAACAAGATTACAAGTAATCAGATTCAAATCAATCCATCAATCAATTCTAGCTAAAACAATAAAATCCCATTTTAAGCAACTTTCTAGTGTTACTCTGTTTTCAAGTTCTTCTTTAATCAGGATTCTCAAACTTTCACAAATATCAAAAATACAAATAGAACTACTAGCAATCTAATATAATTCAATCCACTTTAACTCATTTTAATCAACTTTAAGTATTTTATATAATATTTTAGTAAATAACTCAAAGTATACAACGAATTATTAAACTTACTTAAGCAAATTTATATACTATTAAAGCATAATTGTCCAGTTTCTATTCAAATACTCTGTTGTAAACATTAATTTTAATGAATTTCATATAATGTTATGTAATTACATGATTGCTCTAAGACATGAGTAATTCATTCTCCGAGAATGCAAGTAAAGTCTTAATCATTTCAACATCCAACAATGCAAGCACTTTGTCGTTTAGGTATTCCAAATGTAGTGGACAACTGCCCACATACACCCAACGGAGATCAACAAGACTCGGATGATGACGGTGTTGGAGATGCCTGCGACAATTGCCCATCTGTTGCCAACCCTTTACAAGTAAGTTAAATCTTGTCCATCATTCCAACGATGTTAATGGAACAAATTAATTCATACGAAGTTATGAATTACTTGTAAATTTAAACTCTCGTTATTGTTTAATGGTGGGAAATATGTTACATTTTAATTATGTATATTTAACTAGTAGAATTCATGAAAATATAATTTACTTGCAATATGATAAACATTTGTGTCGAAGAATATAATATTTGAAAAAAAAACTCTCCTGTACAAGCACTTAAACTATCTCATGACTTAATTACTACACAAAGCCGTAATTTCTTAATGCAGCTAATACAGATACCTTTATTTAAATAACATTATAATTTAATTTATTTAGTTTTATTGTTTAAAATTATAATTAATATTTTAAATTTAAAATATGAAATGAATAATTGGAGCTCAAGGATATACTTAGTATGGGAAAAACTTCATGAGCTTCAAAAATTAAGGTGAAAAAGTAGACAGGTTTTGTGTGCTCAAAACAAAAGTAAACATTCCAAAGAGTCCAGTTACCAACGAAAAATGAAAAATAAAATCAAAGTGAAATATAAAATAAGAAAAGACCTCGATATTCTTGTCGGTAACTCGCCACTGCATTCCGCTTGGAAATACATCCTACTCTGATTTGCACCTTTTAGCACTCGAACAACCTATATGTTTTTTTCTTTTATCATTATTATTTTCAACTTCATTTTCAAATCCTTACTATCAATTAAATTTTATTAGGCCTAAGATCCTGAGCAGTAGAAATGAGGAACTTTGTATTTAAAGCTTTGTCTAGAAATATTTAATAGTTTTCTTTGTCGAATTATATTATTCTATATTTCTACACATACAATTCTGTAATACTCTGATAAAATTATCGTACTGTTTGGTAATGACATTTCTGGTAAAGAAAACCATAATTCTGATTAACGAAACCAAATATACGGCCTTTAAATCATTTATTTGGTAATTTTTCTGTTAAATATGGTAACGGCTAACCGGAAATTCTGGTTTTCAAAATTATAGTTCTTAATACAACGCATTTAGCGATAAATACTAAACTGAAAAGTAATTTTAACGAAATGACTGGTTTTTATGCCACGTGCTCTAACATATGATTAAATTACCAAATATTTCTACAGTTACCAAATTTTATCACATATTAAAAAACCATATTTTATTGCCAATTTCAAAACCATTAGCAAAGCGCTTCTGTAAAAATAATGAAGCATTTTTGAGTTTCCTTATAACCAGAAACACAGCAAAATTTTCCATGCTCTTGTAATTTTGACCATACTTTTTTTCTCAAAATAGTTTCGATTTCGTAAATTCCAACAAATTCGACTTAAAAAAAGAATGTCTGGATCCCAGATTATCATCAATAATATTCAGATAGAAAACAAAATTTTCAAGGCTAAAAAATTATTTAGAAAAATTCTAAATTTTTATTATGATGAAGAAATCGATTTACGAAGGAAGTTGTGTTTGAATAAGTTGAAGGAAGGCAGCATTAGTAGAATATTTATCCTGAAAATGGCGATTAATACTATTTGAAGAAGAAATGTTGTTCTTGGGAAATGGTGCTTGAAGATGTTGATAATTTATGAAATTTATCGCGTTTTAATAATGAATCATACATGATAAAAAAATAAATTGCTTATTTTTGCGAACCTGGAGCTTCAAAATAAATATTAATCTTTATTTTTACTAAAATCAAAATTAAAATAATATTTTTAAAAACTACGTTTTTGTAGTGGAGAATAATAATTAAAAAACAAAAATTTGAAAAACGAAAAACGTGGAGCGCATGAAATACATAACAGTAACAGTAGGTGTGCTCATGAGAATATGAGTATGTATATCTGTAATTGTATCTGAATGTGGGTGGGTATGTGTATGAGTAAGAAAATGTGTAGACCCCCACCCTTGTGACATCTCTCGTGAAGGGCCTAACATCTGTAGTTCAAAATTCTAGAGCTCTATTAAATGGGAAACTTATTTCATGCTAAACCTGCATTTTTGTATTTAAATATTCCTTATGATTGGTTTATGCCTTTAAAAAGAAATGTGCGATTTTAATAACTTCTATTGTAAATTATTATAAAATTATTTTAATTTCATTATTTAATTATTAAATTATTTAAAATTATTTTTGCAGATAGATACTGATAAAGACAATATTGGTGATGACTGTGACAGCAACATCGACAGGTAAAACTTGAATTTATCGAAGATTTAAAACTAAAAACTTTTTGCCTTAAGTTTTTAAGTTTTTCCATTTGGAACTAAAAACATTTAATTAACATCACAGAAAATTAGTTTTATTTTTCTTGAAGTATTTTTTGATAGGAAATGACAAAAGTTGCTCGGTTTTTTAAACGGTTTTTCTGTGCTGTTTAAGGAAGTTAACTTTTCGCAACTCTCTGCATTATGCAATCTGACAGTTTACGAACGTAAAGCTTATTGGATGTTTTCTCTTAAAAGGTTTTGTGTCTCGCACTTAAATTCTCGAATAAGTTAATAAAGAAAAACTATTTGAAGAGAAAAGCCATTCCAATTGTTTCCTTAATAGCATTTTTTAAGGAAAAAGTAATCGATAAGTCAAATTGCCTTTACGACATCTTTCCATTTAGAACTTTTCACAAAGGTTAAAGACAATTTTGATGAAAGAATAATGTAATAAATTTAAATGGTTTTAATTTTTGGCACTAATTTCTTACAAGTACTCAAGTTTTAATTTGATATTAAAACTGATTCAAAATAAGATCATAAAATAAATTCTACTGTATTAATGATGTAATGCGAACAAACAAATGAATAATGAATGTTAAAAGTTTTAAAAGATATGATTAAGAAATTTTAGCAAATAAATCTTTGATTGAAAGTGATTTAATAAAATAAATTTGAAAAAAAATTGTCTCTATTATATTTTTTATTAATTCCGCAGTATAAATTATTTTATCTGTTTGGATGAAAAGAAATGTTTGTAAAGAAAGGAATTTTTTCAATGAAAAAAATTTATATTCTGGTTAAGTTATGATTTTGAATGAGTATGTTTAATCCCCTTGCCGTTGGACTAACAGTGGAAAGTTTACGTGGTTTTCCTCTCAATGCAACTCAAATGGAGGTTAGTTATATTAAAAAGTCCTTCTCAAAGGCTAGTATGTTCCAATGCTTGTTCCATAAGCTCCCTTCTCTTCTGGATTGGATTTAAAATCTACGGAGTTTAACATAGATAGTCGTAAACTCAGAATTGGGTCGGCTGTTCAAAGACGCTTATAAAATTTGCAATAAAATAAAACAACTGTTTAATTAGGTCTCTCTGTGATATTCTATAATTAAAACTAATGTATACTGTACTTATTAAATCGCTATCAGTAGTCTCTTTTCATCGCTTTGAAAAATATATGCATTGTTTTTCAAGGTGAAATATAGATATTTTAGATCTTATTCAAACCACACTAAACATTACCTATAAATTTTACTTTTTAAATAAATAATTAAAATAGTTACAAAATATCTCCCATCCTGGCAAATTTATTAAACATTAAATGTTAGAAAGCAATTACCTACACAAACGACAATTATTCTCTGGAAATTAAATACTATTATGGCAATACTATTACATGTATGTAACCGACAAAGTTTAGAATCCATCAATCTACAGAACATCGAAGAATTTTATAGAATGTCTGCAAAGTATGAAACGGCTAAACATTTAACACACCGCTTGCCTAGGCATATATAGAATCCTACATGACTTACTGGCAGAATGTAAAATGTCATGATTTCAAATATTTAATTCATTTATCCTTAATATTAACAATATTAGCCCTAACAGTAATAAAATTTAAATCATTGTTCGAACTTTTGATCTAAAGAAAAAATTTAAAGACAGAGTTTTTTAGTGTTTCGGTTAAGTCGTTGCTCTCACAGCTTGTTGGAGAGAGTTCGATTCAACTAGCCAACAAAACAACGGGCAAGTATATGTGGCAAGGTGCGCGTGAAGTCTAGGGTGCCTGAAGATCCTCTCGCTGGTTCTGTTATGAACATCCTGAGAGAGGGATGCCAGCTCAGGAGTTGACCATGTCGTCTATCGGGGGTCAAAATTAACTGGCATTCCTACCATGTCCGTTAAAAGATAGAGCCCTAAAAATGGGCTATGTGCAAAGTCATGGTTGAGAGATGATGACAATCTTTTATTTTTTCAAATACTTTTGTATTTTTGAGAAATGAACACTCACACACAAAAGTGATACAAATAAATTTATATTTTATTAGGCTTGCGGGTAAAAGTAAAGCTCCTATATTTATTTCAGCTGAATCTAAAATTCAGACAATCTTTCATTAAGTAATCTGAAAGTATTTTCCTGATTTTGGAGAAATTCTGATAAAATTTTATACCAAAAGCTTATTTTGCAAAAATAATGTTCTTCATAATATAAAAGTACAAAAAGAATAAAAACAAAATCTTAATCAAAGAAGTTTAAAATTTCAATGAAAAGGGTAGGTCTTGCGTAGTTAACGATACTCATTCATTAACATCTGTTCAGTGAAAGAACACTTCTTATTTAAATCCCTCCATCTTATTTAAATTCATTATTTCTTAAGAACATTATATTAGTGAATAACAAATTTATTGAACGAAGAAATAAACTTGAAATAATGTTATTTAACTTTATACTTTGAGCCTCTTAACACTCTATTATACTTACATTTTTACGTATTACACCAAATTTTAATATATCCCTTAATACCTTTTTAAAATTTTTATCTTGGAATAAAATAAGGATATATTAAAAAGAATTTTGATTTAAAATGTCTTTCGAGGTCATATGACAAACTAAAATATTTACATTTAATAAATTTCTTGCTAACATCGTCGATATATTATTCCCTTGAGATGAAGCTTATTGCAAAAATGAAATTTTTATTCTGTTATAGAGAAATCTTAAAATGACATGCATTTTTCAAAAACATCTCGTAACTGGAAATGCTCAGATTCCTAATAAAATTTACTTTCGAGATTTCTTAGGAAAATATTAAATGGAATTTTTATGAAAGAATTTAAATAGCTGCGTTTCTATTTTTCCCAAAAGAAATCCGAATAGTGCCTAAATTAAACGTAAATATTTATCCCTTTAACCATCTGACTCGAATGCATTTTCTTATTAAGAATGTAAAAGAATTTTTCTCAGATCACGAAATCATATAATTATTCTAAGAAGAGTTTTGTAAAAGGAACAACTCTATGAATTATTCTCTTTAAATGGAGATAAAAATAAATAAATTGCATTTTTTTTCCAGCAACTTTGTCTACGAAAAATGTATTTGCTCATGCAGTTATTCCACCCTTCGAATATTTTAGACATTTTATTTCTCTTTGTTTTTCTTTCCCTATTTTTTTTCATTCGCTTCTTAGTGGTTGTAATCACGTGATCCTTGATTACTCTCACACCCAGAGGGTTCATTCGCCGCCATCTTACCTACACATCTTGTATTTGGAAAACATTGAAGCTATTACGCTTCTTCCCACAAAAAGTAGCGAATCTTCCTTTTTCATTTACTTTGTGGGATAAAAAAGAAAGAAAAAATATATACTTCATTAGAAGATTCTTCCCACAATCATTTGGAACGTCCGACAAGTGTAATCTATAGATTGGAAAGAAAGATAGTGCATCTACCATCATTTACTCTTTCATGCAAAGAGTAAATGATTGTCTTCACATAAATCTTAAAAGTATTTTATTTAAACCTAAAATTCAGGTTATAAAAATGTTCGAAATGTGAGGCATATTAACCTTTATTCATTTAAATTAATTTGAACTGGTGGCAAATTATTATCAACCTTCATCATTTCCATATGGTACAAAAGTTGTTTTAAGGAGTTTGTGAAATGTAAAAGAGTTAAAACCTTACGAAATAATTACATTTCTGTATTGTTCTGAGAAAATAAAAAGTAAAGCCAAAAAAGGATGTTTTAAAATGGGGAAATTAGATTTACCAAATTCCGACTCGTAAATACTTACAGGCACACATACCATTATCCATTATAATACTTGATTATACGTTTTTAGATAAATCAAATAATTTAGTAATTAATTTAGTATTGAGCTGATAAAACGAGAAATAGAATAGAAAGTGAATACTTGATGGGTTTTTTTAGAACTTAGCTTAAATCTTAGCTTAATAACAAAATTTTATTTAAACCAGAAAGAAAGTTGACAGTTCTTTCAAACGGAAACATAGATCCTCGTGTATAAAACGAAGTTAAATAGTTGAATAATTAAAGTGCAAACTATAAAATCTTCAAAAAAAGTACTTATTTAAACTTTCATGAATCGTAAATGCACACACATACCATTGTCCATTAGAATACCTGATTATTCATTTTTTGATAAAGCAAATAATTTAGTATTAAGCTGATACTTCGAAAAATGAATGGAAAGTGAATACTTGATGTTTTTTAGAACTTAGCTCAAATCTTAGCTTAATAATAAAAATTTTATTTAAACCGGAAAGAAAGCTGAAATTTTTTTAAACGGAAACATAGATTAAGTTTTACAGTTTAATATTTTTTTAAATGTAAACGATAAAATCTTCAAAAAAGTACTTATAAATTGTTGAATACACATTTTTCGTTAATTTCGAAAATTTACTGTCACAATATTTCAACCAAGGCTACTTTCAACAAATTTATGTATTTTATACTTAATTGAGTTTTAAAAAAAACCTACGTAAATAAAAAAAGAAATCAAATTAAAATTATTAACTTTAAATTTATCATAGTATGCTATTTGAAGCAATATCTACCCCTCGAATTACAAAATTAAAACAAATCTGTGATTCTAAAGTTTAATAACTTTCTTAATAAGTTTTTAATAAACAATAAAAAATCTAGACGAAAAATAAAGGACAAATACAGTTGCTCATAAATTAAACAGATGACTGACTAATTTTCCCTAATTCCTGTGAGCTGTGATTAGGAAAACAATGATTATATAAACTCAGACTGAATTATTATAGTCTGCTGAATTAATTTTAAATATGCACCAAAAATTAATAACAATTTGATTTACACTTGGTTTCAAGAATGAGTTTTTATATTTACGGTAAAATGTTCATTATTTAAGGGCTTCATTAATTAATTAATAGTACTTTCTATTAAGTTATAAAATACTGCACAAAAATATTACTATAAGACCGCATAAGTCCCTGTGTTTCTTGCAAAAAGACTTAAATAAAACCGCACAGTAAATTTTCTAATTAGCTTTGATTTATTTAGATTTATTTCAAAAAGCCTAAAAGATGACAAGCTGATTAGAATATATTGGAGAAATCTTAAAATGACTTTAGATTTGCCAAATGATGTTGGTTGATTGTAAGAATAAAATTTTTTTTAACTATTCTAGGACCTATGCAGTTTCAAAATTCAGTCTATTTGTTTGGCCCAATCGAAAATAAAGTTATTAGGTTTCATGAATATTTTTTTTTATTTATATCAAAGAAGGCTATATAAATCGAAGGTTTTCTATTTTCATTTTTCGAAAAGACTTTCTCAATTCAAAATAATTTGCTGTTTATACTTTTAAGCAATGAAAATTTTATTTATTTTTTTAATTTAAAGAGATCAAGATGGCATACAAGATAACGTAGACAACTGTCCAGACGCACCAAATAGTGATCAATTGGATACCGATGAAGATAAGAAAGGTAATATTTTTCCAGTAAAGAAAATATTCAACCTTTGTCTACGGAAATAATTGATGAGTATTTTATTTCTAATTCATTACGTTTTACAAAATAATCCATTTATTACCCAACTCCAAACACACTCAAATACATCAGAAAATATAAAACCTACTTAAAGTAGAAAGTAAAGAAACATAAATATATCATTACAAGTGTAAATTTTTAATTTCTTTTAATTTAAATATAACATCATTACTATTTAATTTTTCATTGCTCGCATATAAAGATATAAGCTATTAAATAAAATATAAGTTTTCATAAAATATTTAAATCAAATACAGTATTTTTATATTAAACTGACCTTCAGAACACAGGAATATAATTTGACAAATAAAAATAACGTCCATATTCGTTATGAAAATAAATCCTGATTTAAATTAATAAAATGAATTAATGTAAGATTAAAAACATTATATAATATTAAAGATATAGCTATTATAAATAAAATTTTTCTTTTCTTAATAATATTTTATTTACAGGCGATGTTTGCGATTTCGATAAAGATAATGATGGAGTCCCTGATCATAAAGATAACTGTCCTCTAGTTTACAACCCTGATCAAAAAGATTCAAACAGTAAGTAGACATCGTTAAAAAAGACAAAAATTGATTTGTATCAGTAACCTTGGAGTTAAATATTAACGTGTACATACGATAAAAGAATTTCCCTTTAACTGTTCTAATCATTGTTTGACATTGCCGTCATAAATTCATACATTAACTTGCTACTAACTTAATCTCATTTTATTTTGATTTTTGTTAATTAACGTAAGTTTATTGTAATGTCATTTATCAGATTTATTGCATTGTTCGTTTCTAATGAAACTTTATTTCGTTGATATTTTTCAAGCTAATATGACTATTTTAGTTACGGAGAAAATTTTATAGCCTCTCTTTAAATAATAAGATGAAAACAAGAAATCATTTATCTTTTCATTCGTATTAAATCTTTTTAACTCTAAGGTTTTCTATTTTCATTGCATTGTGTATTTTGGAAATTTTATTATCTCTATTGTAAGGTAACATATTTCAATTAGGTTTCATCAAGGAATTAAACAAAGTGAAGTAACTTGAATTAAACAAAGACATCAGCATTTATCTCTAAAAATAAAATGCCTGAAAACGGTATTTAAAAGTTAAAAAAAAATAAGCCCTTATTATAATAATGAAATTTATTTTTAGAGTTGCAGCGAATTTACTTCTTATCAATTTAATTTAAAAAATCGATAAAAAACTAATAGAATAACTTACTCGTTTTTTTAAACAGTGTCATAGTTCCACAAGAAAAAATAAAAATAAACTTATTATAGATATTTAACTTTATTTTTAAAACACGGAATTTAAAATGAAAATAGATAACTGTTATTGAAGACATAATAAAAGTTTCGTACTTAAATATGTAATTTTTATACTTATTTTAAATTTGTTTGTCATTGGAAAATTAATTATTGGGAACAATTATTGACAAAACTTCTGGTAGGAATAAAGCGATTGATAAAATTTTTCTTGAATGTTTTAGAAAGCTTTATCTATATTTAAAAAACAATTTTTTGCAATACCAATGATTTATTACAATGTACAAAAGTTTAATACGCGGCTCATTTGTTTATTAACGTGTATCATGCCGCGCATTTCGCAAAGTCACAACATGGTTATTGACACGCAACAATGTGATAGAAACATAACACAAATTTGATATTATGTTTCTACAACAGCACGAGTAATATGTTTCAAAGTGCTCACGAAAATATTTCCGAGACAACTCAATCGAAATGATTGCAAGAATGTTTCAGCAGCAACGAATCCTGTAATAATTGTGTGATGAAAATAAACGAGTTCTTCTATTCTGCAGAAACTGGAGTGGGTGATGTTTGTCGAGAAGATTTTGACGGTGACAGCGTTCCCGATTACCTGGACGTGTGCCCTGATAACAGAAAAGTTTACGCCACTGATTTCAGGGCATATCAAACAGTGGTTTTAGATCCAGAAGGTGATTCTCAAATCGATCCACATTGGGTGATTTATAACAGAGTGAGTAGTTTCTAACATATTTCATATGTAATCATAAGCACCTTAATAATAATTAAGACAACAGCTTAAGATATACAGTAAAACATCAATTCTAAAATAAGGTGTCACATTTTAGGCATTTAATGTCACAATTTTTGTTTAGTTTTGAAGGTGTAAATATAAATTAGTACTTGTAACTAGTTTTCTTAGCTGCGGTATGAAAACTCAGCGAAATATCTATTTTGCAGCAGTTATCTATTTTGAAAAATTAAATAAGATTTTAGAAAAAAGTAAAAATTAAGTTATAATTAAATAAGAAATAATGCTTGTAACAGGAAAGATATAATCATACTATACGATGAGCTTGTAAAAGGAATAATAATTTGAAATTAAAGTACTTATAGTTTCGCGGTAACCCGATGGTTCGAGAATGGGACTGGGGACCGGAAGTTCATATTTGTCGTGCTCGTAAAATCTATGGAATCAAAAGTCTTGTGGTCGGTCTCTGAGTAGTACCATTGGTACGTGGATCTGGGTACATGGGAAATTTCCTTTCCCTTCAGATCTATGTATAGATTAAAAAGGCCTCGCGAGTAAGTGGTGCTGCCATCTATCTGTGGGGTTCTGAGTCAAGACGTACTTTCATCCTTGCGGTTTTCTCTTATCAAACGAAAGGTGCATCTTCTTTACTTAATTTGCGAAAGACTAATGGCTGTGTGAGCTTGGCTTGCCCAAGTGTCATTACAACACACAACAACAACAGGACTTATATTTCAATTTCCTGAATTTTTTTTTCATAACTTTTTATAACATTTCTATGACGCAAATTATATTATGATTTTTTTGATTTATTCAAAGTTATTACCTAAATATTGCCCAATTAGATAGATGTAACAGATATCATCTTTATATGCATTAAGAAAGCTCTTTAGTCTTATTAAATGACAATGATTAGCGATTAGCATTCTATATTTGTCTCTACTGTGAGTTCTGGAATAAATAACAGTAATAGTTATTTATAACTGATAGAGGTTAAGCCAATTCAAAATAACTATTACTATCTATGCCCCATCTTTAGTCAGCTATCTCAATGCCAATTATGAAAATGGAGATAAAGGACAGTAAAGCATAAATAAAGAAAATAAAATGAAAATCAAGAGTTTTGTGAAAATGATCGAAGCATTACTTTGAATCTAAAGTACTCACACAGTGAGAGCTTTTTATTTTAGTTAGTGTAAGAATTCTAAACAGTTAGATCACTAGAAAATGAAATAACGAAGCCTAATTGTGTAGCAAATTAATAGGAGCTTTTCAATTGTGTAACTCTGCGACAACAGCCCTTGGAAATTTTAATCACTGAATCTATAATCCCATTTCTAAAAATCGTGATCAAAGCGCTCAGAAAGGGTACTTATAAAGGCATTACAAAATTTGTATGAACTATTGGAAGAAAATGAATTTCTAAGCTTGGTTTCATTTTAATTAACAGTGATTTTGTAAAAATTAATTATTTAGCTCAAAAACACAGGATATGTGAAAAATAAACGATACTTTCCTGATATGTGAAATCGCTTTTTTTTTCTATTTTGTAATTGGCATAAGACAGCGAATCCAATTCTGAGTTTAAGACTATAAATTTTGAACTCTGTAGCCTATAATTTTGAATCCAACCCAGAAAACAAGAGAACTTCTGGATCAAGTATTTGGACAAGGTTTCCTAGATCAAGCTTTTTAATGGAATTGTAATTGGCATAAGACAGCGGATCCAATTCTGAGTTTAAGACTATAAATTTTGAACTCTGCAGCCCATAATTTTGAATCCAACCCAGAAGACAAGAGAACTTCTGGATCAAGCATTTTGACAAGGTTTCCTAGATCAAGCTTTTTAATGGAATTAACCCGCGAATGCGTTACATGGAGAAGAAAAGCACTAAAACTTCCCACTATTAGCTGAACGACAAGGGGATTCTGATCTGTTTACCACTGAGGGTATTTTACACCAGCACTGTGGTCGATGCGAGCCTAAAGCGAAATTCGTATAAACTAGCAGCAACTGGTATTCGAACCCGGGCCACCGCATTGGAAGATGAACGCTCTATTCCATGAACTACCGCAGCTCTCAAAGCCCCAATTGTAAATAAAGAAGATTGTGGATCCAAGCAAAAATAATATTAAAACGAATGTAAAACGTTTGAAGATGAAAGTGAGAAAACAGAAGCCTTTTATTGGCTCTAATGCGAGTATGCATGGTGTTTGAGAAATTTCTTAAACACCATACCGGAATTTCTTACAGTGTAGATTTTTCATAAACCTATAGATACAATTTTTTGTTGTTAATATATCGGAAAAGAAACAAAATAATACTAGTTTAAACTAATTAAACTTAAGACATAACGAAGAAAAGAGGAAAAAAAACTATTCAAATAATACTTCAAAATCTCGCCCATTCTCAATTTTTTTTAAAAATATTTTTGATTTTATTTTGCCTTATAACTTTGCCTTTATGACATTTTATCATATTCTTACGTTGTGACCTTTGTTATTGTCTTGATTGAACCATTTGGGTACATAGCCCCTAACTGGCCGATGTTTAAGTGTTTATGAAGGCATGCTAGTGGAAAGACATAGCCTTAATGTTCTTAACCATGAAGTGTGTCTTTTCCATGTGATCCGTTTGCCATATTAGTACATTTGCCACTTATTACAGTTAGTAACATTAATTGGAACTCAAATCCATAGCCGCTTGTTCTTCGGAAAAAAAGAGAAATTATTTGTAAAACCATTTCATTTTTAGCTTGCTTTCGTAAAGAATAAATGTACATGACTACCAAGACTTATTAATAATTATATTCCAGCATAGGAACTAGTCTTGTAACTTATTAATATCTTTTAATATGCCTTGATACCTAGGATATTCTATTTTTACCAAAAATGCTAGCCCTGCTCAGGTTTTTGATGATAATTGCATTCTATGTATCTTTTTGTACTGAACGATAGAAAATGTGACTGGCTTCACATTTTTCACCGATAGTATTAGAAATATGACGAAACAATGAAACGAAGAAATGTTTTCGTATAAAGTGCCAAAATTATAAGTACAGTACAGTATTTTCATGGAAAACCTCGTATTCAATATATCGCATATTTAATATATCGAAGCAGTTTTATTCGTTAATTGGTGATTCTTTCCTTGTTTTAGTGAAGTTAAAAATGATTTAGAAAACATTTTTATGAAAAGTCTACGTTGGAATTTTTTGAATAATTGATTACTATTCGAATCAAATGTGCCTGCAGATACTCAAAATAAATAAAAATAATTTAGGATATACTTTTGGACAGGTTGGGTCATGTTTTGGTCGCTATTAGAAAACAAAATTTGAAAATTTGATTTTTCACTCTACCTTAATACACATCGGTGTAATTTTTCCCCCTCTTTAGTTTAGCGCAGCTCTTGTAATGTTATAATGTGCAGTCTTTCCAAAGTACAAAATTTTCGATGATTGTAACAGCGAGAAAAATGCTTACATTATTTGTCATTTATATGACTATAATTTTAAATATTTTTAACAAGTTATTTTATTTTAACAGTTTTAAATAATACAACAATAAACTGACGACAGAACAAAATGATTTTAACAGTCTAGTAATAGTTAAACCCTTATATTTTATTTTCTTAGTCATTCATTATAGAAAATCATCAAACTATTAAAGTTTTATATATATTTTCTTTATTAATGCAGATTATAATTATTCTTTTATGTTCATTTAAATAATTACAATTGCTATTAGCCAAAACATTAAATTGTTTCAAAAAGTATTTCCTTTTCTTTAATTTCAAGATTTACACAAACTTGATTAATGTAATTTTTTTTCTTGTTTATATGCGTTCTAATAATAGCATTAACCATAGAGCCAGGGAACAAAATCTAAATTGGATTAAAACAGGAAAGAATAAGTCATTCATTTTAACAAATTTTAGAAAATTATTGTATTTTTAGGCATAAAGCTTTGAAACTCAAACAGATTACAAAGAATTATAATTCCGTTTCATGAATATTTTTAATCTTCTTAAATCATAGAAGAATGCGCTATCAAAAGAGTTTCTTTGATGTAATCTAGAAAATAAAACTTGTTTATCTAGCATGGAACATTTTAATAACATTTCATAGAAGTAGTCTAAATAATTAAATTTATTTGGAAATATAGTAAAACGCTACTCAAAAACAACCAGAAAAAATCTAAACTAAAAGTTAAAACTATGTTGTTATAAAGCACGAGTCCATGAAACATGGATCCAAATCTCGGATGGATAGTATTGAAGAGCGTAATTATATATACTAGTGGGCTGCGCCCCCTGCTCGCTGACGCTCGCCAAACCCCGAAAATTGCTACGCAATCTTATATGGTTTGCTTCGCAAACCAAGATCGCTTCGCTCGCTACTAACTTAGGTACATTGCAAATGCATAAAATACTAAGAATTCCAAACAATCATTCAAATCCATATAACAACTTTTTTTTTAAAAAAAAATTACATCTTTTTAGTAAATACTAAGTCATTAAAATAAATTTGAATTCAAATAAATGACATGTAATTCGTTAAACCTATTAGAAATGTGCTATAGTATAAAATCTTAAGATAAAATTTCTAAAACTGATATCTCTTTAAAAAGGTTAAAATTTTGGCTATAATTAAGTCTATTAAAAATTGAAATAAGTGAATTGCAATGGAAAAACCTGCATAAACAGATAAATTTTAGTAAACAAATAAATTCGTGATATAAATCAAAAATCATCAAATAAATTCGTAATATATAAATTCGTGAAAAAAAGCGCTTTCGACAAAATACTAAAATAGAGATCTATCGACAAAGACTACTCACCTCTGCCTGGCTTATGCTCTCTATGGTTATTTCAGTTTCCGTTTTTAAAAGCACTATATGTTGAGCCATCTGTGCTAGATTTGGCATGCGACATTTTTAGCGGCAATCATTGGTCGATTTTCTAGCGTTGCCATTCGGGGAGTTGTAATGAGGCTTTTTTTGTCGCCGTGTAAGAGAAATATATATATAGATTGTTATACTATTCATTCGTAAATATATTATGTTCTAGACTTTTGTAGGAGATACCAAATTTAATTTGAATTTCATATAGATAGATGCAAATTATTTAAAAGTTACTATATTTTAAATCATTTAAAATACACAATTGTCATTGTTCAGTCATTTATACGGATCGTCATTGTAAGATTTTTATTGTAGCTACAATGGAGTTTCAAATTTTATAAAAATGGTTTTGGTTCTTGAAACTATTTCAAACATACATTTTTAAGTACTTTAAGATTGAAAACCTTACTTTCATGACCTAAAAAATTCTCTTTTAATAGTAAAAACCCTCTCTTCAAATAGGAAAAGTTTTCTTTTATCCCAACAAGAGTTTTAGTCAGAAATATTATTTCTTTCCACACTTATATATATCTACATTAAAATGCATAGAATAAGAGGTTGTAAGTTTAAATTAAATGCTTTATGGGAGGAAAACATGGTTGCAGGAAATAATATGAAAGGAAAAAAATTCGAATAATTTCCGACCAAAAAAATCCCGTATTTTAAAACAATGCTCAAAAAATTTCAAAAATGTTCTGAAAGAGTCAAAAGGTAGAGAAAAAAAAAGAGTACATGAATGTTATCAAATTCTGGGTTTTAATTAAACCACGCCTATGTGAGGAAAAACAAAACCATAGCAATTTTTTACGCATTTATATTATCAAATTTATGTTTCGAAACTAAATATTTATCACAATAGAATTATATATCAGTTTAAATGACAGTCTCATGCATTAGAAAAACTCGAAATTCTGCATTGTAATGAGTTTTGTGTGAAATACTGAAACAAAAATTCTAATTAGTCATTAAAACAGAATACAGTAGTACATTTTTCTTGATGTAATTTTTAATTCAACAAAGTTTATTAAAAAATGCAGGAAAACAAAATTGTTTTTTTAACGAAAGCAAATTAGGATTTCATTTTCATTTATAATTCATTCAAATTCATTTATAATTTAGAATGTCAACTAATCACAAAATTTTTAATTAATAAACATTAAGTTTGTTTAGAGACAGCGCAGTACAAGCAGTCAATTTATTCAAAACAAAAATAAAGGTTTTTAACTTATCTTAATGGTATTTGAAATTAAAATGAAATATTTATTTAATAAAGTTTAATCTCAAACAGTGAAAAAAATACTGAATTAACATTTTTTTTCAGTTTGAAATCTAAGAATAAAAATTAAATTATCATTAAGATTAATATTTGATTTCATAATGGATAAAAAAAATTATGAAACGGCGAAGGAAGTTATTTGAATATACCAGTTCAAAATGCAAATATTTTCTTTCAAACTATTTTTGTTATTTTTTCTTTGTATATTTGCAATCACGCAAAAATTATGAGGTATATTTGCATTTATCGTTAAAATTTACGTAATTACATTTTTCTTTCTGTTTAACAGAAAGAAAAAAATTTGATAAAATAAATAAAGCAGCTTAAGGATTTAATGTGTAAAATTTTGATTGTCTAGTTCTTAAATCTTGTAAAATTGGTTTGGTTTGAAGTAAGCTTTACGTAAAATAAGTTCTTGAATTTGTTTCTTCAAATTTATGAACAAAAAGCTTTGCTCTTTACGAATTATTTTTTCCCTAGAATAAAAAAATCACTTGCCGACGTTAATATTTCTATACAATTCATAAATCAAACAAATGAACTAGTTAAAATGCAAGAAATAAAAAGTAGAGTAAAAGTTTTACAATTCGTTTACATTAAAGTACGGTCTCAAAAAAATCGATTGACGTAGATAAGATTTTTTTAATGAGAAGGAAAATTTCTTAGCAAAAGTCTTTACAAGTAAATTCTTAATCATAAAGACCTTTTAGAAGCATTTTCATAGTTCAGGCTAGACGTAAAATATTCGCAAATTAATTTATTATAAGCAAACAATTATATTACTCAAAAAATATTAACGTTGTAATAAATCCATATTTTTTCTTTTAAAAATTCAGTACGGAGATAATAATAATAAAACGGACTAAATTTTACGGAAATAGCAAAGAATTTTGTATTGAAATTGAAGAGATTCTAAGAAGTATTCATAAATTTAATATTGATAGTCTATTAGCTTTTGATGTTTTGAAATCATGTAAATTGACAAAAGAATGTTCAAGGGTATTTATTAATTTCCTAATTATTTATTTAGGGAGCCGAAATTGTACAAACAATGAACAGTGATCCAGGTTTAGCCGTTGGTAAGTGTAAATAAAATATTACAGATCATCTAAAACCACTATACTCTCCTCACCATATCTTTGTTCTTTCAATATATGCTAAGAGCTGATTGGATGAATGATCTAAGTGATGCTTTAGTGCGGTGTTTCCCAAAGTGAGGTACGCGTACCCCCAGGGGTACGGGAACAGTTTAGCGGGGGTACGCGTTTTTATGTACGCGTTTTTATGCAAAATATCTCGCAACAAACGAAAATTTCAAATAATTTTATTTCGAAACAAAGCTAGCCAGGAAAATTTACGATTACGTATTTTTCTATTGGCTATTGTTTGCAGAGTAAACAGTTAATAATTAGTGGTGTCAACAGCCAGTTGTGATTTTTTACTTTTGTGCAATTATTTTACTGTAAAAAAAACATTCATTTTTTTTTTAGTGGTACACAGCGTTACGAAAAATTTAGAAAGGGTACACAAAAATCATGAGTTTGGTACATAAAAATCATAATCATTTTTACTGTCGGCAACTGCCACTAGGATCTTTCATCCACTCAGATCTTCGGAATTAAATGTTTTGCCAAAATAAATAAATGCGGCCTAATTATATATATATATATATATATTTGTAAATGCCTTGGTTACCATTAATAAAGTCAATCAAGACATTTAATGATTATGCTTATTCTTTAATGATAACATGAGTCACACAGACTCTTAAACAATTAAGATCGAACCACACAGGTTCCCAGTTTCACACAGAAACATTTAGTTTCACAGGATCGAACCACACAGGTTCCAAGTTTCACACAGAAACAAACTTCAATTAACTAATAACATAGTCACATAGATTTTAAACACTAAGATAATCAGTTTCACTTAGAAACTACTTCAACAGACAATTCCAACTGACTAACTCTTAATTTACATCGAGAAAGTTCTGGAATCGTGCGTCCGGAGCAAGTTGGCATCTCTGTATATATATACTATATATTAGAGCAGATTGCAGATATATATATATATATTTTATCGTTAAATTGTAAAAAAGAAAATCTTTTAATCCATGCAATGATTTTTCAATTTATAACGAAAAACCTAAAAGTAAAAATTACATTACGGGGCTTAAATTTTAAACTGATTTCCTTATTTAACTAGTGAGACCATATTTTGCGATCCAAAATCTTCGAAAAAGAGGAATTCGCAAAAAGAATGTTTCAGTGTCTGATTTCGTAACTTAAATCATCGTCACAGTAATTATTTAGCATATTTAGCATGTGTCACTCGTATTCATTACATGCACTTAGACAGTTGCGCTTGGACGTGAAGTCCCAATATTTATATGAAGATTTTACAGAGAGTATTTATATGAAGAGTGTTATTAGAGTTACATTCCCCCCCCCCCCCCC